AGTAAGGAAAGTTCCGTCAACCTGAATAAAAATTAAGACTATAATTAGTATGAAATATACTAAACAACAAATAATACAACATTTAAAACTGGAACTAGTTGGTAAAATACCTGAATAACCGGTATGCAGAACCCAAATCCGTCAATGCATGGTTTAAAAGCCCAAAAAAGACGATGGAACATCAACTTATCCTGTACTCGAACTTGATCCTCAGTGTATACATTGTTGTATACTGGGACGAAAACAGTCCCAGGATTGGACTCCTCCATTGCTCCCATAAGTCTAGGGAGTAAAGCATACGAATCCTCCCAATCACCATACACCTCAGCCATGGCTTTCTGCTTACCATGCCATGCTTTTTTATACCTTATCGTGTAAGAATGTCGATCCTTCACCTCTGCCATGATAGCTTTCACCTTGATATCTGGTTGTGCTTCTATAAGGTGCTTAATAGTTCTCCCAACCTTTTTTGCCTTTAGTTGCCTGTGATCTTGGGAAAGTATAGAAGAGGAGCATCTGTGGATCGTCTCAGCTTTGCGAATCACCCAAGCACCCTTTCTCTTCATATTTGCAGCCCGCAGTTGCCACGTACAACCCTCTGCATCATGCTTGCATATGACATGTAGTTGTTTACTGTCAGAATATTTTACCTTCCACTCGAAATTGCGCCTCAACGCCTCTTCTGTAAACGCATCCTGCACAGCATCTTTCGATGGGAACGCCATACCCACCTCCAAATTGGCCGTCGGATTGTACACTGGCAAAGGGACATAATCGGGGGGATCATTCTGACTATGTAAAAATTGAGTTGGAACCTGTGTGTAATATGGCGTGGGTGCCTCACGAAATGCCGCCTCATCCTCGTTATCATCAGTATCTTCCTCCTCCTCGCTCACTGATCTCAAATCTTCCTCAGTATCCTCGTCGCTCGACTCGAATGGATAGCTCGGGCTAGAAGGATCAACATGACCACGATCACCAACATCGTCCTCTCGCTCATGTGAAGTACGCCCTGATCGAATGGTATTCTCGATTCCATACCACTCTGGCCCCCAAGCAGGCCATTGAACACCATCGGCCTCAACAAATGGGGCTGGTTTAGGAGGTTGCGAGTATTTGTCCCATCCTGCACTACTCGATCCACCGTAGTTGATTGAACCACCACCCTCCCCGTAACCTCCTGTATAACCACCGCCTTGGTAGTTGCTCGAACTACCACCCCATTCGTACCCTCCTGCAAAACCATCATCATAAGAATACTGGTGAGAATGAGATTCACCGACCGCCTCGGTCTCAACATACACCTCTGCAAGCCGGACTTGGTTATCGCTTAGGAACTGTAACATCATCGTAACCGCGTCATCATCGTTTATGACAACTTCTTGGTACACGACCCCGCCAGCACTCATGTCTGGATACCGGTAAGTAATTCTGCCAAGTCTCGTCTGTCCGCTCGTACAAACCCTTTCTGCACAAAGATCACAGAGTTCTTGAAAATTGAATCGGGAACCAATGTTCAGCATAATGGATTCGCCGTCCTCATAATCAATGCCTATGTTAGAGTTTGTCACCCTTCCATTCCACCGAATATTAAGATGAAACTTCTTGAATTTACCCATATCTACAAATCGAGGATAAGTATATATTAGCTTAAAGACAGTAAAATTAACCAAACTAACAACAACATAATACGAAAATTAAATCATACTATATTGTCCATCTCATAACTAACGAAAATAAATTCAACTAACTAACAACAACATAATACGAAAATTAAATCATACTATAACTAACGAACATAAATTCAACTAACTAACAACAACATAATACGAAAATTTAATCATACTATAACTACTAAAAACATAATTAGACAATAATACGAAAAGTCTCAACATACCGAAAAATGTCTGTTCTGTGTATTATGCTCGATTTTTGTTGCTGAAATTTGAAGAAGGGGGGAGTGGTAAGTTTTTGCTTCTGCTGGTGGGTGGGTATTTATAGGAAAATTTGCTACTATTCACCGTTTTTGTCAAACACGGTGAACACCATCACCGCGTTTGTCTCAAACGGTGAATAATAGGTAGGTGTGACCTAATTTTGACCTACCAGGGGTGGGAAACGTGGGAATATATCACCGCTTTAACCTAAAACGGTGAAGGTAATCACCGTTGTTAACATAAACGGTGATGTATTCACCGTTTCCAACAAATGCGGTGAATATATCACCGTTTTAGGTTAAAGCGGTGAATACGTCACCGTTTTGGTCTTAAACGGTGAAGTATTCACCGTCTTTGACAAACGCGGTGATAAACTTCACCGCGTTTGTCAAAGACGGTGATGCCCAAACATGTGTACTTTTGGAATTTTTTTTATAACTTATGTATTTTGGGAATTTTTTTTAAAAACTAGTGTACTTTGGGATTTTTTCCCCCTAATCACTAGCTATAGCTATATCAACCTTTTCGAGTTGGCAAAAATCTAACTGAGAGAAGTTAAAAATTTACGATAAAAAATTGAATAAACGAGGGGTTAAAGTTCTATCAACCGCTATATTCCCACGTTTATTAGAAAATTTATATGGTTTTGAGAGTTAAGGAGGTGTTATAGCGTGAGCCTCCCACTACGGGAAAAATGGCCTCTTGCAACTCCCACAAATGTGTTGCATTATGTATTAAAAGGGTTGCGAAAACCTATCGCAACACTTTTGGTAGGGTTGCATATAGTGGGGGTTGCAAAAGGAATAGGCAACTGTTTTTCCATTTTTCGCAACCCAAATATAAAGGGTTGCGTATCCTTACCTCTTACGCAACACCACTTTAGGCAACACGTTTCACAAGTTTTGCAACACATTTTTGTAAAATGGGCAACGGTATTTTTAACTTTTGGCAACAGTAAAATTTGTATATGTGACGAGTTTAAATCGTCACGAATAACTAACTCAATTGTGACAACATTGCTCGTAACAAAAATTAGAACTTGCGTGACAATATTATCGTCAATAAAAATTCTTTTTGTGACGAGGTAGTCCAGTCACGAAAACTATCATTGTGACATGTCTAATTGTCACGAATAGATACATGTGTGACCATAATTATGTCACAAATACACATTGTGAAATTCCTCGTAAGATTTAGGGGTTGCGTTGGTTATCACTAAATTAACTATTTGTGACGAAGTTTACTGTCACGTATGTCCCCTATGTGTGACGAATTTCAATCGTCACTCACAATATACTTTTGTGATTATCTAACTTTCACAAAAGAATCATTGTGTGACAATTTTTTTTATCACGAAAACACCGTACGTACCACAAAATGACGTCAATTGTGACCAATATTTCGTTGCAAAAGGATATATTTGGTGACAACTTTACTAATCACTCAAAGCAGCATTAGTGATAAATTGACGGCACGAACTTCGCAAATCCCTTTCATTGGTGACCAATTTCATCGCAAAAGGTTAGCTTTTGTGACAACTTTGCTAGTCACTAATAAAGCAATGGTGATGCATCACTGAGTTATCACAAATGTATTTCTATTTTGACAATAAAATAATATTTTCAGCCTTCTTTTGTGACAAGAGATGATGACACGAGTATACCCCAAAAATGATGATAACGTATGTCCTACATGAGTGCATTTTGTGACAAGATTTTAGAACACATATTGCTACAACACTCTATTCAGTGAGAAGATGTGTCGTCACTTCTATTAATTGCGAGAACATGTTTTGTCACAAATTTAATGGTTTGACGACTAACGAGCTTCTTTAGTGACAAGAAATTAAAATACGAATATAGTCATTGGTGACAAAAAAAAATATATCATATTTTGTGACAAGAATGGTCACCAAAATAAATAAAAAATCAAATTCACTAGATAATAGGGGAAAAAGTCTTAAACTCAAATTTGGCTACTAATAATTCTAAATAGTATTGAAATCAATCAAAACCACAAATCTAACACTAATGAGATGTTTTTGATCTTTATAAATCATCCTATTTTTTCGGACGCAACAGTTGCATCATGTCTTCATCATGTTGCTTTTGCAGGTCAGCAAACCTTTGTTCCCATTTCTTGTTCTGCTCTGCTAGCCGGGCCTCAAACTGTTGGTTTAACTCTGAATAGATCTCATTTCTTATCCCAGCTCTAACTTCTTCCCCAACCACAGCAATTTTCTCCCGCCTAACACGTCGAGACGAGAGCACTGCAAAAGGTCTGTAGAATCATCGGACTAAAGGAATAATATGCTTAGTCAGAGTCTTCATAGAAATCATCGGTCATTTCAGCTTCACTTGAGTGTTCATCTTCATCACCATCACCATTTTCAGATTCACTTGTGTACTCTTCTTCAACCTCTAGGATTGCAGCTTCACTTGTGTTTTTGGGTTCAACAGCTGTCGTTTCAGTCTCCTTTGCAGCAAGATCGTCCTCCTCCTCCACATCAAGCCCCACTGCATCTTCCACTTCGGTATTTGTCGATTCAGGAATTTCAACCGTTATTCCTTCAACGTCATCTCTTGACCACTCAAGCTCCTCATTGTTATCAATTGGCAGGACAGGCTCTATGCTAGGTGCTCTTGAATTAGAAGCATACTCGTCTTCTAAGCCATCAACTCTCATGTCAAATAAGTCTCGAGGAAGTGTCTCCATAAAATAATGCCAATCTTGTTGCATTGGATCTTGCACATAAAATCCTTGCTTTACCTGATTTGCCATGACAAATGGGTCATTTTGATACTTTAACCTTCTAAAATTCACTCGAGTGAGCCCATAACCATCCTTTTCTGAATCAAACCACTTGCACTTGAACAGAACTATTTTGAAATGGGAATAGTAATCCAACTGAATGATCTCATCGATGGCTCCATAGTAAGTAACATCAGCAAGCACTGGATTTTTATCCTTGGAACTTGCATAACTTGATGTCATTGCTGTCAGCGTTACCCCACTACTTTGCGTTTGCAAGTTCTTCTCGCGACTCAAAGTATGAAACCTATAACCGTTAATAAGGTATCCTGAGAAGCTCTGAGCAACATAATTCGGACCAGAAGCTAGGTGTTTGATTATCATAGAAACATGTTTGTCATTTTGAACGCGCGACTCAAGCCATTGTACTATATCTTGTGCTTGACTTTTTTCTCTTGCCCAATTCCTGCCCTTACGTTTTCTGGTTTGTGATTGATGAAACTCACTGCAAAAACCAATACATCATGAGCATAAAAGTAAAAAAAATAACGAATTTGGATAGATTGACATAATGAAAACAGCATGAGAAGCTTTGTGATTGCTTAAAGGAAAGAATTTCTAATTACAATAAGTTCCCCCCACACACAGCCATCATCGTAAGACTACATGAAGCATAAAGTTCACAAGGAAAGGAACTTATGAATAACATAACTCAGCAATGATGGGGAAAATTAAAGGAAACATACTGGTACCAAATATTCAATGCAAAGAAGATATTGTATACTAAATAGAAGCAAGAAGATCATCTTACTCGATATATGCAGACAGCTCAGACAAGTTGTCCTGACAATTGATGATGACATATCGCCGAGCTTGGGTAAGAACCTCATCATTCAATTCAATTAGTTTACCCTTACCATTCTTTTTTGCTCCAAGCGGTCTCCCTAAAATTGGGAATAAATCTGCAGAATTTTCCCCTGTGACAAATCCTTCATGGTTCCTGGAACTTCGAGTGAACCTCGTATCACCATTATCACTCAAATATCTTGAGCAAAAGATTAAACATTCCTTAGCAGAGTTCCCTTCAGCTATGCTTGCTTCAGGCTGATTTCTATTCTTCACAAAATCCTTTAAGACACCCAAAAAACGCTCGATTGGGTACATCCACCGAGTTTGTACAGGCCCTCCCAGCCTAACTTCTTCGACCAAGTGAATTGGTAGATGAACCATAACATCGAAAAAGCTGGGTGGGAAAATCCTCTCAAATTGACAGAGAGTCTCAACAATTTCAGTTTGCAACTTATCCAACTCGCTCAATGATATGACCTTCCTACAAATGGCTTTGAAGAATTGACCAAGCCTAATGACAGCAATAGCAACATTTTTGGGCAAAGTCTTACATACTGCGACTTGAAGCAGGTATTGCATCATAAAGTGCGCATCATGACTCTTGTACCCAGATAGTTTCCTCTCCTTTAGGTTGACACAATGAGAAATGTTTGATGCAGCTCCATCTGGCACTTTAGCTCCTTTTAAAACCATGGTAAAGGAAACCGTACCGGATATCATATCGGATTCCTTTCTGGTAGGATATTTTGTGGTACGATCGTGGTTCAACCGTTTCATACCGGTAAATACAGTTTTTGTAATAATAAAATATATTTTTTGTCAAAAAACCGTGACGCCAAAATCAGGGTATCGTCTCGGAGCAATACAGGATATATCGGAATATACCGGATAATAAATGAATAAATACAAGTAGTTAGCAAATTAATAGAAAAAGAAGAAATTTTAAATAATAATGATTTTTTATAAAAAACTTTCCCATCATTTAATAGATTAATACGCGTGCACTTAACCCTTCCCCATCTACCATCTTCCGTTCTTTCTTCCTCCCATCTCTCTCCTCTCTCTCTCTCTCTCTCTCTCTCTCTCTCATATCGTCGTCGCTCCCGATTCCACCACCATCGCCTTCCTCTCCCTCACCGGCCTCGCCTTCCCACCACCGCCGCCGAATCCGGGGAGGTACAGGCAGAGTGCGCCACATTTGAATTCGTCTTCGTCGAGATCCACCTCGTGTTTCTTCTTCCTCGCCATCGGCGAGATCGTCCTCGGGGAAGAATTGGTGTCAGAATCGGTGGTCGATTCGTCCGGATTCTTGAACCACATGTCGAGCTCGTCGGCGGCGCTCGATCTCCCTTCGGCGCACGACTTGCTCCGCCGCATGTGAATCTCCTGTTCCAGCGCTCAGTCTCTCCTAATTGATCTCCCTTTGGCAATTTTCAGTATTCGAACGGTGACGTTTTCCTTCCAATGAGCCTACCGCCGGTTAGACCAAAACCGGGAGGTTTTTTCGTTTGTACCGATTAAGTCGGAAAAACCGGCCGGTACGATATTTTGAAGCAAACCAGCCTACCGTATCGTTATTGGTCCGATTTCCGGTTTTACAGGTTCAACCGGCCGGTACGATCCGGTTTCCTTTACCATGTTTAAAACCTGACAAAAAATGTCTTTTTCTTGGTTGGTTAGCCAAAAGCAAGCTCTAGGCAATACACTCTTCTTACGATTTGATGATTCAACCGGATGAAGCTTCTTCCTGATTCCCATATCACGTAAATCCAGACGAGCATTCAGATGATCTTTGGTCTTCCCAGGAATGTCTAACAATGTTCCTAAAACATTTTCAAATACGTTCTTTTTTATATGCATCACGTCAAGATTATGACGCAATTGATTTTTCTCCCAATAAGGCAAATAAAAAAAAATGGACAACTTATGCAGAGGAAATCTTGTCTCACCTTTCTTATTGTCCCTCTTGCCAAAGTCATTGATGAATCCTGGTAACTTTTCCTTGATCATCGAACCAGATAAAGGTATAGGACTCCGCCCAAACTCAGTTTTCCCGTTAAAAGAACTCTTGTCCCTCCTCCATTCATGATCATCATCAAGAAACCTACGTGTCCCCATATAACACATCTTATTGCTGTGACTCAACCGCAGAGAGCATGTATCATAATTACAATTTGGACACGCATAGTATCCTTTTGTGCTCCAACCAGACAACATGGCATATCCCGGAAAGTCACTAATGGTCCACATCAAACAAGCACGCATATTAAACATTTGCTTGCTATGAGCATCATAAGTAATTACTCCCTCACTCCATAGCTTCTTCATTTCATCCACAAAAGGTCCTAAATAGACATCAATATCATTCCCTGGTGATTTTGGCCCTGGGATAATCGAAGACAGCACCAAATACTCTGGTTTCATACACATCCAGGGTGGCAAGTTGTAGATTGCAACTACCACGGGCCATGTGCTATGATTACTTGTCATAGTCCTGAACGGATTGAAACCATCAGAAGCAATGGCAATCCGAACATTTCTACAATCAGCTGCAAAGTCCGGATGCAAGTCATCAAAATCTTTCCATGCTTGACCATCTGCAGGATGCCTAAGATTCTCATCTTTGATTCGCTTTTCCTCGTGCCATCTCATGTATGTGGCTGTTTTCGAAGACATGAACAACCTTTGGAGTCTTGGTATCAAAGGAAAGTAGCGGAAAATCTTGGCAGCAACTTGTTTCCCGGAAACATTATCATCTTCACCACAATTCCCATCATCCTTAGGGGGGAACTTGTATCTAGACTGGCCACATTTTCTGCAACTCTTCAGCTTACTATCATCATCACCATAATATAGCATACAATCTTTTGGACAAGCATCAATCCTCTTGTAGTTCAACCCTAAACCCTTAATCATTGTTTTCATTTTAACAAATGATTTGGGAATCTCAGCATCAGGAAAAGCCTCGGTCACCAAAGAAAGTAGAGAATCGAAAGAGGAGTTACTCCATCCATTGAGGCACTTTAGAAGATATATTCGAATGGTGAATGAAAGCTTGGAAAACTTTTCACAGCCCAGATACAATTCTTTATCAGCGACTTCTAATAGAGTGAAAAAGTGTTTCGTCTGTCCATCAGGCTCTCCACCGACACTAGCTGCAAGGTCACTTAATAGACCATACATATCATCATCTTCTACCATATCATCATTGTCACTGTCTTCAACTTCCTTCTCTCCGTGGAAAGTCCAAATAGAGTACTTCTTCACAAATCCATGACAAATCAGGTGTTCATTGACGACATTTCTGGTTTGCCAAAACATATTCTTGCACTTCACACAGGGACACAAAATCTCATTTCCCTCAGCCGATTTAGCAAATGCAAAGTTCAGAAAACTCTCTACCCCATTACGATAGGCGGTACTCACTCGTGCTTTCGACAACCAACTTTTGTCCATTTCCAATAATAAACTGCAAAATGAATGACCTGAATTAGTAAATATATACATTAAGGCCAGGACAATATAAGTACAAAGAGGAAAGCTGGAATTTCAGCAGAAAATCAATATAACATTAGCGGTGAACAAAATCAAAAGCAACATTCTATACAATTAAGCTTTCTGTGGTTTTATGTGTGGTACTGAGACAGGATGATAGCCTAGCTTGACTTACTAGCCTTGAATTAATTCCCAGCAAAACTATAAACCAGAGGTACAAATACCCGATTCTGCTAGCTGCATTGCTTATTTGATTGAAACAGCAAATGCACAAGTTATTGATCTTTCAACTGATGCAACAAAAAGATTAAACTAGCACACGGTTGCTTGATCATACAACATATATAGTCAAAGTTAATCTGCAATTCTGGGCATTTCTAGAAACTTGGCACGTGAAGCATATACAAATGCAGGAGCTCTAATCAATAAAAGATAAGATTGTAATTAATACATGGAAACAAACTTGGCTGCAGCAAAGTGATAATCTCTATTACTGCCACCGATTGAAATAAAGCGGTTGAAGCAACTAGAAATAGAGCTAGTTTGTGAGGTTTGTGCAAGGTAGAGAGCTAGTAAGAAAGAGCAGCAGCTTTTCGTCTTGCATATCAGTTTGTCAGGGAGGCGAAACACAGATTACTTAATACACCAATCATTCGGAGCTCTTCAATATAACTTTTGAGTTCTGCTTTCCGCCAGTAGACATATTAGTATGGTTATTTTGCTTATTCGTTTGAGTAGTAACCTGATTTCTGGGCGCAATCGTTTGTTCTTCGTATTCTTGTATTCTTGTTTCCAGTGGTAATTATTTCCAGTGGTAATTGATTTCTGTGGAGCCAAACAAAAGTAATGTAGTTTTAAAAAGAAATTATAACCGCTACAGAAGAGCAGGGGAAGGAGAAAGGAGAACCCATCGTAACACGACTGCCGTTGAGGATCAGATCGAGGAAAGACAGAGGATGATGCTTGACGGTGGGTGGGGAAAAGTTGTTCTGTCGGCGTCGGGTAGAGAAAGGAGAACCCACCGCGGTCGACGGTCGAACAGGAATTTGAGGATGATTCTTGATGGTGGGGTGGGTAACGAAATTTGTACCGTTGTTCTTGGGGATATGACCTTTAGAGGAGGATTGATGGTCTCTGATTCCTAGTTGCTGGGCGGACCTCTGCTGCTCGTCGATTTTGCAGCAGATAAACACAGGGGAAGCTTTTTTGTGAGGGCAGAAGTACAAACTATGGAGAAGTGCGATAGAGGAAGGAGAAAAGGGAGGTAAAAAGTAGAGTAACGAGACTAATTTGTTTGGTAAAGTTGGGTGGGTTTTTGTTTGCTCTTCCTTTTCTTTTCTGTATTTGGGTCCAAGTTGGGTTTTTTTGCTGTTTACCTTTCCTTTGCTTTTCTGATTTGGATGTACCTTTGAAATTGTTTATATTCACATTGTTATTATACATCAAACGGTAATATAATTATATGTTTTTGCAACAAAATTTTAATAAGTGTTGCATAACTTATTGAATTAGGCAACAGTAAATTTATTTTTGACATATGTGTTGTGTTAAGAGAATAATTGCAACATAAAATTAAATTGAGTTGCGTAAACTATCCAATACGCAACTCCAAAAAAATGTGTTGCCGTAACATATTTAACGCAACACTTTCATGTAGTGTTGCAATCCGAGTGTTGCAAGAAGGCCTTTTTCCCGTAGTGTCCCTACTCACTGAATTGATCTATCACGGGAAGTAGAAAACGTGTATGGATTAAATTTGATTCACTTTTTATACAAAGTAACTAGTTGATATCATATGAGCTTTGTCCTTTTAATCTAGAAAGAATAACAAGGTAATTATCATAAGCGGTCAGA